CGAAGGGCTGCCACAATGCATGGTTGTTGTTGGGAAACATTTTGCATTTTGCTTATTGTGGTTTAGTGGTGGAAATCTTCACTTGGGCTGAATCGAACTCTATTTATCTCCCAGAGGCCTCCTTTTCTTTTTAGCGGCTGACAGGATGTCGTATGCTGAACATGTACGTGCTTCCTAAAATATGCTAAACTAGGAGTCGCACCCCCCAACCATAGCAATGGCTTCCTGTCAATGGCCCTTGAAGCAGCATGCAAAGGGTGTTTCTCAGTGTTTGGGCCAACCCCATCCAAATATTGAATGGAACAGAAGTACCAAATAGTGGCTTCCATGATGGTCATGCACAGGGAGTAGAACTGGTCTCGCAAGCTTTCTGATGAGTGCCGGATTCCAATCTGAGCAAGGGACAGAGTTGTTTGGTAGTTTAGCGTTCTTTGGGGAGGAGAAGACAGAACTTTGTGGCTCATTGGTGGCTGCTGCCTGATGGCATGCATGCCCAACAATCTTGAAGATGATCTTTACCACAGGGATGCCCAGGATTAACAAACCCGGGTTTGTTGGGGGATCCCCATTGAGGAAATACTGCGAATCCTTCTCTCTTACCTGAAAACCCCCTGGAACCTCACCCGTTTTTGTCACTCTCTTCATTACCCGCCGCTTGCTCAGGATTGTGGCTTTCATCTACGTCGTACTGCACATCGTGTCCTTCTTCCTGGTCACTTGGCAGCGTTTGATCCGGGCCCCCTGATAAATTATGGGGAGGCATGGGTCCACATCCCTTTTCAGGGGGGCGGGGGCGCTGGTCTTTTCATGCCCCATGGTTTCCAGCCGCGCCCCTCATGATTTGGGTGCGTCTTTTTGTTGGTGGTGTGGCAAATCCTAAGGCCTAAGGAAGGACTCTTCCAAATTCTAAAAAGTGTGTATGTGTGTGTGTGTGCGCCGCCCGTGTTCCCAATTGGAGTAAAAGTTTTCTACCCATGCCCTGTGTTCGGAACATGCAAATATTCAGTGCATGTATCCACGGCTGCATGCAGCTTGTCAGCCTCATAAACTGCTCACGTGTATGCCCTTTTCCGCCAGGTCGGCTTGAAAGCATTGGACATCAACGTCCAGCACGTTCGCCAGGAGTTGAACGAGAGCAGCGAGGCGCAGCGTCAGAGCCTAGAAGAGCCTACGTATAGACCATCGGATGGGATGCTGGCCTATCCTTTACTATGAACTATCCTGCAAATTGAGCTTGCCCGCTGGTTTCTTGCGGGAGCCCACGTTGAAACGTTGCACTGGTTTAGCTGGAATCTGTTCCATTTACCAGCTTCATCTATTTTGAGAAGGGGACACCTCTGGTTGTATCCCCCGAAAAAGGATCTCAAGTCGTTCTGTCAAGGCCCAATTTGTTTGCCACGTCGGAGTGACAGGTGGCTGCAGCATCCGATGCCCGGCCCTTCTGAGATGATGGCTTGGACCTTAGTCGCTAGAGGTCAACGTGCCAGGGAGCCCGATCATCGTGGTTTCGCTTTGAATCCAGGGGAGATGGGTAATCCCTCATTGTCGGAAGCACTGGCACACCCCAATCTTGTGTGCCCGTGGTATTTTGACCGAACAATGTGTGTACGTTTAAGTTAGGGCTGAGGAGTTGGCTTATTGTGATCAGGAGCTCCTTTTCTGGCATTTTCTGGGTGCGGTTTTCCTTCTTTGCTGCGATTCATAGTCCGGGTGGTTGCCATTGTGCCTGAGAGGGCCCTCAAACCATTGCGTCTAAGGGAAAACAGGGTATATGAGCCTGTTCTCCAGACTCCAATCCCATGTTTGAATCATTTTGGACGGAAACCAAGAGGACACGATGGAATTATGGGTGTGGGTCAAAATTGAAGCATCAGGGGGCCGCAGATTTTAGTCCTTGGTTCCATTTAACAGGGTTCTATTTTGGGTACCCATTTTTGACCCACAGCCACATATATATATATATATGTATATATATACACATATATATATATACACATTTTTTGTTTTATAGATGCAACAGTTGACCATGACAAAACTCATGCCCGCGAAAGTGAACCGTGTGGCCGCGAGAGGTTCCGCGAAAGGTTCCGCGAAAGTGGTTTGTTCGTAGAGGGGTTTGATGTATTTTTTTAGTGGTTTGTTAGTAGTGGTTTTGTTAGTAGTGGTTTGTTAGTAGAGGATGCAACTTTAGCAACTTTTCGGCACGGCTCAATGGTATCATGGGTATAGTGCCAAAGTTGCCAGCTGACAGGATGATCCACGGGATCCAAGTAGAAACGTGCAAGGGGACCGCCCAAAAACACGCGGAATTATGTATATGCAAAACACATTGTGACATGCAGAGAGTCGGCACTTGGGCATAGTCTCATGCACAGCTGACATTGCCAAAGAGGAAGGTCTATACAGACTCCTTTGGCCTTCAAAGGATTTGGAGAACGAGATCAGGTTCGCCTGTAGAAAGCTTTATGATCTCCTGAGAACCACGTTTCCGTGACTCAGCGATTCAGTTTTTTGACTCACGGTGGTTTGCGGCCGCCTGACACTTCCCATCCTTTCCGGCATGTTTATTGTGACTGCCTCGCCTTAGGCTCACTGGAACTGGCCGCCCTCAAAGCTGTGCTTGTGTGGATGGACTGCAAGCAGCCCTTCTGAAATGAGGCGAAGGCTCACCAGCAAAGAACAAGAGCCCTCAAGCGGATGCTTCATCCTGAAACAAATATATGCTGAAGCTCAATTTTCCCCTGGCAAACCCATCCATAAGCGCGACCGCATGAGGGATCTTTGGCTCTTTTGCAAGCGCTGGTGCGCAGATTGTGTAGCAAGCCTGGCATGCATTATACAGTAGGTGGTGCTTAATATATTGTCTGTTCTTTCCTGGAGGTGATACGGTTGATCAATATGTTTCAATTAGGCAGTACCACCTAATTAGCACCTGCTTCGTGCGGCAAGGCAGGCGTTTCGCCGGTCAGAAGACGGCTGCTGGCCAATTTAAGTTTATTGAGAGGAAGCTCGTGCTTGGCACATGATCGTGGCAAAAAAGCGAGGAGCGCTGTAGAGGCTAGCGAAGCAGCTGTGAATCCTCTTCAATCACACCCCTTTGAAAAAGCTAGCAAGGCAAGTTTGCCGGTTTGCTTGGGGAGGTGAGGTGACGTGGTTGGAGGGTTATCAGACGGTTTTCCGTGTTTCTGCATGTTGGGCGGGAGGAAGGGACTCGGGGAGAAGGGTACTGCTCAATGATGCTTGCCGCTGGGCTTGACCGCTTGGGAGAACCGACCCACACGGGCAGCTACATGGGCGAAACCGCCCCAAAAAAGGGCGTACCACGGAGGGACAACAAGCTGGAGACGTGTTTAGTTAGCAAGGATAGTGAGGGCAGCCACCAACCCACGAATTGACAGGCGTTCTACGAAGCTTATGGACAACATATTAATACATATATATATCCCTAAGGCTCTTTGGTATGTGCATTGGAAGGGTCGGGATGTGCATTGAAAGGGTCCGGCCTAAATACCCTGCTGACGACGTTCCGGGGCTCTGGCAGTTCACAGTTCGACGCCCCGGGGGCCCAGACCCGTTTTGAGCGCACGCGACAAGGTCTGAAACCCAAGTGGCCACTGGCCGCAACGACACCCATGCGCAGAACAAAATTCGCTTTTCAGATAATTGTGAAAAAGGCCAGGCGCTATGGGTGAAGGCTGGGCAGCTTGAGTCCACAGTCTTATCGCTAACGCGTTACCTGTTGTTTCGGATGTACTTGTGGGCTGGTGATGCGTCTTCAATCTTTTGATATTTCGCAGCTTCTTGACAGGAGTCCCGTGTTCTCCCGTGTTTGCCAAAATGTTGCTGACTTTGCTTGTTTGTGTGTGTGTCTGACAAGCCCATGAGCCGTGCAAAATTCCTTTGGTTATACGCGCTATCGCTGCTATTGGCTTGCAATGGCGCAGAGCCACATGCAGTTTGTATTTATGGGCCAGTTGAGTGCCGATTAGAACTGCGCGCGTCAAGGTCTGGCGTCGGAAACACGTCGGGAAGCTAACGATTGGGCCCTCAAAAATAGGCAAACCGAGGGCCCGCGAGGGCCCGAGCGTCGGAAAGCCGTCGGAAACGTCGGGAAGCCGTCGGAAACGTCAGGAAGCCGTCGGAAACGTCAGGAAGACGTCGGGAAGCCGTCGGAAACGTCGGGAAGCCGTCGGAAACGTCGGGAAGCCATCGGAAACGTCGGGAAGCCGTCGGAAACGTCAGGAAGACGTCGGGAAGCCGTCGGAAACGCCGGGAAGCCGTCAGAAACGTCGGGAAGCCGTCGGACAGCCGTCGGACAGTTTTCAGAAACCGCGGAATGCCAGCATGAGTGAGAACGCCGTCGGAAAGCAGATGTCACAAAGCCGTCCGAGATCTGTGTTTGCTATAGGAAATACTTGGGCCTACCGATTTGTCCGTGGCAACTGAATCTGTTGCTTGCCGGCCAGGACGGTGTGCGGGCCAATAACTGTCAAAGCGATTGTTATTGAATGATCGATAGTGGTTGCAGACCCCGAGCAGCGGGGCCCTCGCTACGAGGGGTCGTGTTTCTATGGCCCCTCGCCATTCTGTCCCTGAGGGCCCGATGCCAAACGACGCCCCGAAAAGAGTTGGGATCCTTAGGGATATATATATATATATTAATACTATTGGATTGGCGCACTGTGGATTAAAGAAGTAGTCAACGGGCGTGAATCCTGACCCGGCCCAGAACATTTCGACCGGAATGCACAAGCAATCAGTTGCAAGCATGTGCTTTTTGTGTTAGTTAAATGTAATTAGCTTCTCTTATCATGTCACCTGATGCAAGCCGGCGGCATGCTCTTTCAGGGTGATTGTCACATGAAAACCTTCATTTGAGAGGAGTTCCCAGGAAGAGGTCAAATTCAATCCGGGAGACAGACCAGACTAAGTCAGGTGAAGTCGAGCAGCGCTTTGCAAAGTAATTCATACGAGGATGTCATTTTTTTGTTTTGGAGATGGTCCCAGTCAAATGCGACGTACCACCAGGATGTGAGGGACTCACAAAATGTTCTACAACCACATTTGGCTCTCCCGTGTGCCGTGTCCAGCGAGTGCGGGTAACATCATATTCTTGACTGCTGAGACGTTCGTTGTGTGTTTGAGAGCAGCCGTAGGTTTGTGTTTCAGCATTCGGGAGACAACTCCTCACGCGTTGCAAGAGTCGACCTGGTTGGGTTGGATCTCTGACCCAGGAATGACGCAGGGAGTCTTTTGGATGCCTTTGAGGTCACGGCTCGATTCGAGTCGCCGCGTCTCGATGACATTTCTCGGCTCAGTCACATCGGCAAGCGATGGGCAGCACGGGTTCTTGCGACTCGGGGGCCTGTAGGGAGGTCTGTGCAGGCCTCAGAAAAAGAAGAAGCATTTAGCACACGCCTCAGGGACGGAAGAAACTGTATCGACGTGTCGCCTGTGCATTAAACAAACCTGAGAACCTGGAGTGTGCTCCCGCCCACCTGTCGGAGAAGAAAGCAGCTTCTTCTCTTTGTTCCAGGCACCAGAAAACCAAAAACATCCGTTGACTGTTTAAACCTGGCAGTTTTGACGCTCACAATTTTGAAAATTCCCTTCAAAAGACATGGTCTCAAGATAGAGGGCCTTGTGTTCCGACGGTTTGTGTATCAGTTTCCGAAAAAGAAGGCGAGATGCGACAAAGACGAGGACGAGTCAGGTAAAATGCCGTAACTGTGCAAAGAGCTTTGCACTGTGTGGCAAGGAATCGGAACAAAAAATGCCGGTTGCACTTGCCAAGGCAAAGCGCTGGCAAGTCTGAAGACTCCACTGTTACATACTGACGCACAAAAGTGGGACAGCACGCCTGGAAATGATCCTGGGATCCTAAGAACACCCGCTTGGAGAGAAAACTCATGGCAGCGTGTCGTACTGTGGATGGACGAAATCCTGCACCACTTGGAAACCATGGGAAGCCATTGTTTGTTGGTATTTACAGGGGAATCATCATTCCAGGGTTTCTTAGGTGGTGCAGGATTTCGTCCATCCACAGTATTACCCCTTTTCTCGACATCGGGGATGCTGGAAGGGCCTGAGACGGTGTTACCAAGCAGCTTTGCGAGCTGTGTCAACCCCCCTTTGCCCTCAGTGTAGCAATCCCCCCGACAGGTTCCGGCCGGTGTGTGTTTTGGCGCACCTTTCGTTGCTTGCCCTTTGGTCCCGCACGCTCGAACAAACCTCCGTGCCTCTGAATTGGAATGTCCAGTTACGCCATGCCACGCCATGCCACGGCTCAGGTGAGAAGAAATGCTTAGGCAAGACGCCTGGATCTCAGGACATGTTCAGAAGCACCAAGTAGTACATTACTTGGCTCCTCTCAGGACATGTTCAGAAGCACCAAGTAGTACATTACTTGGCTCCCAGCCATCCCCTTTGCTTTTTAGCAATTTGGTGTTTAGTGGTAGTTTCCATTTGACCCACTAAAAGTTAAACTTTTGGCGGGGGATCTGAGGGCAGCCCAGATTAGGTTCCCCAAGCACCTTACCAAGTTGCCCAGCGGCACTGTGCTTCCGCGATTTCAGGGCAGGGCTTCCTTCAGAATCAGACGGCAAAAATGGATGTCCTTAGCAGAGTGGCGTTGGTTTTGGAAGACCTAAGTCACACACCCCTAGCTTTTACTTTCATACCATCTGTCCACAAGCCGCGGCCCGTAATGCGCAAGGACTTGGGTATGGGTCAAAACCCAGATACCCTTGTCTCGGTAACTCCCCTTTTGTTTGGTTCATTCTGAAAGGGAATTAGGGGGTAGGGGTACCAGGGTTTTGACCCACAGCCACTTCATCCAATGGACTTTGCACAAGCTTGCACGATGGCTACGCACTTAATTACTGCGGGATTTCGAACGTACACAGCAGCTGCTGGCGGGCCGGCGCAACATTGCCAGCGAGGTTCTCTCGGCACGAGGACGCGTGGGAAAGAAACTGCTGGAAGGCAGACCACGAGCCTTGGGAAGTTCCGAAAGTCTTATGTGCTCGCATGATGAGCCTGTCAGATACTTTTCAAAGTGAATCCAGCTGTCGGGAAGTGATCTAGAAAAGACCTGCGTGGGATGTGAAAAGCCACCTTAGCCTTAAAGGAGCTTCTTGAGCGGTGGATGCAGGGAAGCTGCAGTTGCAGATTGGAATTTTGCATGGTTGTTGCAGATTGGAATTCTGCATGGTTGTTGTTGGGAAACATTTGTCCCATTTTTGCTTAGTGGTTTAGTGGTTGAAATCCAACCACTGAACTCCTAAAGTTTAAACAAGTTTGCTCGCCAAACCCAGCATCCCCACTGAACTCCTAAAGTTCAAACATTTTTTGCTCCCCAAACCCGACGTCACCCAAGTCTGGGGGTGACGTTCTCCAGGCGTGCGTGGGAAGTTCCCAGGTCAGACCTGCAGGAGTACCAGCCCCATGCCAAGAAGGAGGCCTTCGCCTTTCGTGCCAGCCCAGTCACGGGGTTTGAAGCGCCGAGAGGGGCCTTCTCTTGCGAAGTAGTGCCAACTTCTCCCGTTTTTTTTGGGGGGGAGATTCGGTTCCCCTACTAAAATAGACATCCGGAAAAAAGGTGGGTACCCTGATTCTAACCTCTCTACTGGAGGATCTAGCTTGGCGGAACTTCACAGGAACGGCTCGGCTTGGTTGCTTTAGAGACGCAAGGTAGCCTAATATTGGAGGTCAAGCAATCTCTGTGACAGGTAAGACATCTCTCCCCCTTAGCGTGTAGGGGCGCCCAAGAAAGTTTGGCAAGAGCCAAATCCTGCGCCAAAGCATCTTTCAAAGGAATAAGTTCGTACAGGGGTATATGTTAGTGTCAGGGGTTGCAGCACTTGATGATTGAACGAAATGGTCAATTTGAAGACCCTCTTGATGATCAACGTGCCATGGTCAAAACATTTGGTTACCTGGCTGCCTGCGGGATTCTAATTATTCCCTTCTCCCTAAGAATAAAACGCCTCCCCCAGCAATGAGAAAGCAAACTGGTGATTTGTTTTTGTGAGTGTCGTTTTTTTCTTTGTTTTTTCTTAGGGGGCCATTGGACTGAATTTGGAACAGGCGACTTTGGCTTTAGGCAGACACTTTTCTCACTTGTTATTTTTTGGAGACCTTTCTTATTAGTGGGAACGGATTAGGGGTGGGCAACAATCCAGAAGCCTCTATGAGGGACCTATTGAAAAACCACGCATGTGGTGGGGACGGGTTTGACATTTTACGGATTGCTTGGATGAAGTCACTGTTCTTTTGAAGGTGCCTAAACATAACTTAATATTCTATATTGTAGGCACTTGGTTTACGTTAATGACAATCTTGCAAGCATGGCAAGCCAGATAAAATAAGTACCCATGGAAACCACTCCAGGTTTGGGGAGATTGGAGTTCTTCCGGTTTTTTGGGGAAATGAAGGGTACAACCCACAAAATGACTCCACATACCTTCTTGGGAACTACGTCAGGTAGCGAATGTGTTGTTGCTTCAGCCTTCAACCTTCAGCTTGATGTTTGATGATTCCCTAGCTTACCTTTCTTTATGAAGCTTGTGAGCACCAAGGGCACTTTTGTGCTTTGGGTGCACACGTTGTAGGGCTAGCTGCCGCGAGTTTCGCGCTTTTTCAGGGATTGCGATTCCTGAAGCCACTCGCATATCCTAATTGCATATCCTATTAGTTCAGCTGTTTTTGTTACTTGCATATCCGCTTCCATATCTTAGGACTCATCAACTAGGTCAACTAGGTCCCCCGGTATTGCCCTTTCTCCCCTTTTATTTTTTGAGGGGGGTCCCCAACTAAAATAGACATCCAGAAAAAAATGGGTATTCTTATTCTAACCTCTCTCCTGGAGGACAGACTCCCTCGGACTCCCGGCTAGGTTCTCCAAGAGGCGGTGGAGATGAGTCCCCCACTGGCAGTGCAGAGGAAAGACGCCGAGGCGACTGGGGAGCTCTGGGAAGTGTTGTTTTTCTTTGCTTTGTACCCTGGAATCAGATTATCTGAAGATAGGGTTAGATCGCGGGTAAAGCACCTTGGCCTCCGAGGCGGTTGGTGCGTTCTCAACTGCCCTTGAAAAGCCGAAGGACAGACTTATTCACACCCCTGCTTGCCGTTGTACAGCCTGGAAGCCATAAAATACCCAAGCAGTCAGGGAGAACTAGAGGGAAGCGAAAACCGAAACCCACCGGGCGTCATTGAGGGTTTGGGGACATTCCCAACAGAAGCTGGCTGTCAACCATACTTGCCTTTGTGCCTTCAGATTCGTACGAGTACTTTTCCGCGATTTCATGGGAGATTCGTTCTTTGATTTCATGAGTTCTCGACCCCCACAGCTCTCACCTGGATGTTTTGGGGTGATCAAGCGGTATACCCCTGACTTGGGCAAGATTTCGAGAAATGCGGCATGGTCAAAACCAATGGTACCATTTTTGGGCTAGGTGCACCACCCATTTTAGTCTATTTCAGTGAGGATTGGGATGTTCACTGGGGGTACGGGATTTTGACCCATGGCCAATTAGCTTTCCAGCCCCTGTCTTCTTGAGGGATCCTTCGGGTGGTTTAGCGTCGGAAGCCTCCATGGGCATCTGGAGAAGCTTCGGCCGGGGATCGGTTTTCCAAGAGTTCAATTTGAGAACTCCATGAAAATCTACGCTTTGGTGCATTTAGCTTGGATGTTAGGACTTTCACTTTTTGCCAACTAATGGGTTTTCCATTAAGCCACTAAAAGTTAAACTTTTAGCAGGGAGCAGAAAGCAACCGAGCACAGTTACATGGGGGTTGATCAAAAAGGATCCTAAGACTTATCGCGAAGATAGGGAGTTTTCCGGAAACAGGAACATCTCGATCAACTGCCCGTGGACATGCTGGTTAAAACCTGTCTACCCTCCCACCAATGAACAGCCGGAATCTGACCTTCGGGACCCGGTCCCTTCAAAAGGAGAATGGTCCAAACCAGGGCCCCCCGCTTTTCCGTCGGGTTCCGGCTGTTGGTTGGAGGGTGCTATTTGGCTGTGGGTCAAAACCAATGGTACCATTTTGGGGTACGTGCCCCACCCATTATAGTCTATTTTAGTGGGGATTAAAATATTCACTGCAAATACGGGGTTCTGACCCATGGCCATTTGTTTTGTGGCATTACTTGTTTGTTTGGGGAATCTGTGAGCGTCTTGCCAGGCGGCCTTAGAGGAGGCCCGGGCGCCAAGTCTTCAGGCCTTGGAGTGTGTAAACAACTTCAACCGATCCAACCCAATCCAGAAGTGTAGGAACGTGTTTTTGTTTGTTTCCCGTGGTTTGCTTTTGCTGGCGATGTTTTTGTTACCCAGGGCCTTCTGACAAAAATCCGCGGGAGGGGGAGGATTCTGAGATAGGGTCTCTCTACACTTTGTAGGGGGTTCCTTCAAGTGTACAGATGTCAAAAGGCACACCCTTGTCAAGACTCCTGGCTTCTACACCCGCAATTTGTGTCTTGGAGCCATGTTAAAGGTTGTAAAACTTCAGATACACTGACTGCAAACACGCAAAGATTAGGCTTTCGGAATCTCTCCGCGAGCTAGTCCAAGATATCGCCGTAAATTAGTAATCAATTCACCAATGCAACTTGAATGAGAGGAAAGATCGCGCAACGGCAAGATGGACATATGTGCACGTTTATAGGTCATAAATGACAAAGTCACGAGTCACTCGAAAGCAGAGCAAGGCGCTCACGAAGGTCATTCAACTATCCTCCTCCCACTGACATGAAATCTAGCGTCCAGGGCTCCCCTCTGTCAGCCCCTTTTTGTGTGGTTTGACCTTGAACGGTAAACGAAACCATTTTTCCGGCATTGTGGAGCAGCTCAGCTTCAAAACCAAAGACGCCACCAACGCCCACAATCATGCTCGTTTCGAGTCAGTCCTTTGTTGGCCAAGGATTGCAAAAGGTAAGCAGCGAAGGACCCAGTTGTTGAGTGGTGCCCTTTTTCCTTTTGTGCTTGCTGGCTTCTCCACTTGAGATCGTCAATCCCAAGAAGGTGTTCTTTTCGAGTAGGGTCACTGGGCTCACTTGTTCACTTTCCCTGGGTCTTCTCCTCCAGCCCCTCTCAGCCCTCGTGGCAGCCGCCAGGTGATGGCAGATAGCTACTTTGCCAGAGAATTGGAGGAACGCGTGGGTTGGCGGAAAACCTGTCGCCACTTGAGCGCGCAAAACCGGTTCCTAGTGGCCCTTTGAGGGGGGTTCTACTACCTATTTTAATAGGGAGTGTAGAACCACCAGTCAGATGTTCGCCACCACTCCCTTGGGATTGGAGGGAAGAATCCACTTGGAAGCCCGAATGTCGTTGACTCAGTGCCAAACTAGGGATGTCTTCAGATGGCAAGCTTCATGTGGTTCCCCCCGTTGAATCCGATCCAAAGGGGTCCACCGAGTGTTTCCTATTTAGATGGGCTTCACCTATACAGACACAACTCTCTTATATATACCCAATTGCCCAGTGGGTTGCTGCCTTTTTGTCTTTTTTTGGTAGGGGTTCCCCTTGAAAGTCAACCAACCACAAAAGGATGCCCTTTTTTCCCATGGCCACTGGGCATCTGAGTATATTATATATAATATAGAGAGGCGCAAGATGTGCTTAAACATGTGTTCAACAATAGCATCATGCTTTACATTTGTGGTTTGTAGGCTTGGCTCAGTTGCCGAAAGGGAATTGACCATTTGCTACCTTTGGTTTATCTTGCTAAGGTTGTACCAGCTGAACCTGCTTGCTGTGTCGCATTCAAGCTCTTTGGGCTTACGTTTGCTCATTGACTCCCGTTGTGATTGAAAAGGCACTTCAAAAGCGCAATTCTTGAAAAGGTGTATGTGTTTTTGCCCCCCAGTTTTTGTTCTTTTTAGCATTGGAACCCGACGCTGTTGAGAGGGGCCTGCGCTTTGACACAAACTCTGTGTGATTGAAGAGGCACTTAAAACATTATGCGCGGTTGTTGGATTCCTTTAGCCATTGGAACCCAGAAAAGTTTACAGGAACCTTTTTTTGACAAAATCTGTGTGGACACTTGGGAGCATAGGTGTCCTTTTTAAATGAGCCTGGTTAAAAGTAGATGGCACTGGTTTAGATGGGTTTTGCTCCATTTGCCAGGGCCATCTATTTTTCCAAAAGGCCACCTATGCTTGGGAGCTTTTTTTTTATGTGAGTTTTCCCTTGGAGGAGCTGCGCTGCCTCGCCTCGGGGCCCGAGGGCGAGCGCGCGAACCTCGAGTCGTGACCTGCGGAGGTTTCCTCCTCACTACATAGGTTGGTTGTCACCCCACCAGTGCCTGAACCCGTGTCAGGTTGGCACTTGCAATCAGTGCTCTTGGCGTATCCGAATCAAAGCTTGAATTGATTTTCTGGAGTATGTGCTTTCCTGCGAAGCAAAGAGTTGTGAATCGGTGTGCCCTGGAATATGTATTTAGTTTTGTGCCTGGAACTTGTGCAGCTCGAGGTCCGCTCTTCACTTTTAAGTCAGGCTGGGTCTGTCACGCGCTTCACGCTTGGGCGGGTGTTGCCGAGACCGCTGTCAGTGGATACATGCATTGGACCAGAAAGCCTCTTGTGACTCTGCGAGACTTAGAGGGGTGGGTGTGTGTGTGTGTGTTGTGCTTCCTGTCAGAAGTCATGCAACTCAGTAGAAACCATTGCGGTGTCAGCGGCATCAGTTCGGAGGCGTCAACCGCAGGCATCGGCTGTCGCAGGTTTACGGGAATGGCCCCACCCGCGTTTCAACAGATTCACTGCCATGGGTTTGTTTGCATGTCGGAGAACCACGCACATGGGCGGTTGTTCTTTCATTCACCCTGTTCCCGCCCGTTCGCGGGCGTAAGCATAGCTCCGGCTCCTGCGCCACGGACGGCACGCGGGGGTCGCACTTGGAGGACGGGGGCTGCTTGGTTCGACGCAGGTTTCCCCTGAATGTGCCTAATTAGGGGAACATGGTCCTCCCCTCCACCGAAATGTTGATCAACCCAGCAGGAGTAAAAAAAGAACTTGTAGCAACAGCTTTTCCGAAACTGATGCGCATGACAGGAGCAAGTCGACCTCTTGGGTGGTGGCTCTATTTTCAGACATGTGGTCATGTGGTTAGTTGATTCACGAAAAGATTGGAAAGAGGCTTGCCAAGGCCGTCCATGTTTGCCAGTTTGATTTGGAAGTCTCAAGGCCAATATGTTGACGGGTCCAAACATGATTCGACTTGCCACAGCAATATCACACAAGGCTTGCCAGCCAGTGGAATCATGATTCGGGTTGTTGCATGCAGTGTTTAAAGCTTTTGTTGCCCAGGAGCCATGCCGATCGGTGTGATGCTTCGGTGGAATGAGGAGAAGGCTGCTGCAGACACGTAGAGCGATGTGTCCGGTTGTCAATAATTCAGTAGCCTTCACCAACTGGGTTGGCCTGACACGATGGAATGAAGCTGTCCAGATGAAGCCTATGAACAAAGATAAATAGTATGGACACACTGCAAAGCTAACCATGTATTGAACACAGATGTTTTAACAATAACTGACATGTTTGAGAATAAAGACTATGGTTCAGACCCTGTGCATCATTACACTTCACCTAACTTCGCTCTGACAGTGTGCCTAACTTTGCTTCTGATGCTAGGGGCAAACTAACTTGTGCTGAAATAGATTTAGTTTATGTTAGAGTGATGCGGAACGACACATATATTTTGTCCAGAAAGTGGAAGCACATACTGTTTGTATGGGTGGCAAAGTCTTATTGAATCATCTACGCAAATCTGCCAACATTGTGAAATAGCCCACTTCTGGTAACATCCGTCAAACATTTCCTGTGTCTCATCGGGAGCCAACTTCAACAGCGAAGCTTTGCGGGTCTCGAAACTCAACCACCTCAAGCATACAGGTTGCTGGTAGTAGTTTTTGCTGGCTTTTGTTCACCCATTGTGGCACGCCACCGGAAGTTCAGCACCCAAAAGGCTCCTCGAAACTCTTCCTCAGCCTTATCTGGCTGAGAGTTAGCCCCAAAGTGGCTGGTCAAGCCCAAACCCGCTGGGAGCAAGGGGATTCTTGAAGGTTTTAAATGGAATTTATCACTACTGGATCATTACTGGATTTTTTGTCCAGGGGTCTTAAGCAAATGGAAGAGGTGTGCTTCGAGTCATTTGGCCAGGGCTTCGGCTTTATCCGTCCCGCAGAAGGGGATGGCGCTGATGTGCCTTGGCGGACATCGGGTGAAAAAAGAGAATGGTCCCCTGTAAAGCACATGGCAGGATCTAGAAAAGGTCCCCCTATTCCTGACAACCTCCCCAGAAGTTGAATTGGACACTGCAAAGGCAAGAATCTAAGATTGAGGGCATGTGTGATCCCTTCCCCCTAATGCTAAACGGCCCCCCCTAATACTAAGCGGGTCCCCCTGAAAAAACCGGTTTTAGTATTAGGGGTCCCCTGTTCCCGGAGCTCCGGCTCGAAATTCGCAGCTTTGTAGTACAGCCGTAGTAAAGAAAGCCTGCTCCAGGGTCCCCCTAATAGGGCTGGATTTGGGCTCGGGCGGGAAATTTCCTACTTTAGATTTGGTTTAGTCTTGGCTATTCTAAAAGTAGTATTCCTGGATTTGGGATTCTGAAAAATCGGTTTCAGTATGAGGGGACTGTTTAGCATTAGGAAGAAGGGATTAGTTAGTGTGTTTCGCCTGGCTGGTGCAGGTCAGCTGAAGACTGCAGAATACTTAGTTTGAAGATTGGACTTGGAATGCAAAGTTTGCCTTTCTGAGATGGTCCCTGACATTTGTCAGTTTGTGCGATTGACAAGGGCTTGTTGGAGCGAAGAAGGCGGCTTTGGTTTAGCACACACTCCTCTCACCGTGAGAAATCCAGATTTCGCCAAAAAGGCCGCGTTTGTGCTTGCAACTAATCCGCTAGTCAGTGGCATCTTTCTGAGACTCACAGGGCAGTACAGCACTTGGTTAAGGAACGAGTAGGCCCCCAGCTCAACTAGCACAGGGCCTTTTCAATCTGCTAGTCGTTGCCCATCCCGTTTTGTCACTGCATCCATTGACTCTGGAAGCGGCGTGTTGCATGACCGGAAGAAACAAGTACGTAAAGATGTTGGCTGAAACATGCGCCAGGCATTAACTTCAGCTTTCGACAGAATGCCTCTCCATGGTCTTTTCAGTTCATTCAGCTTGCAAAGTACACAGCAGGGCAAGCCCATGTCCGCAACAGATTCACACCCGGGAAGTGTCCCTTCAAGGACGTAACCTTGCAAGGTCGATGTGGCTCGCGTGGCTCTTCCCAGTAAAATAAATACATCCTTGGCCCGTCAAAGTAGCAGGTTTCTCTCAGCAGGTACAAAATAAGTATGTGTTGATTTGCTATACTTCCTTCCACGGCCTTGTTGATGTTCCCCTTACATAGGCGATGCGTCGCAACGCTGCATCCCTAAATCGCAAGCAGAGGCCGCATAGGTTGCATTCAACCGCCTCAACAGCTCGCTCGCGCTTGGGTCCTCGCCATCGCCAGCTCTTCTGCCACAAGAGTGCCCTGCTGGACGGCGAGAACAGCGTTTTAGACGGAGACGAGGCCCTGAGTCAGAGTCGTTTGCATAGAGAGAGAGAGAGGGAGAGGCCCCCCAGCTAGGTGCCCTTTCTCGCCGTCTTTTTTGGTTGGGAGGGTTCCACCACTAAAATAGACTACCCTTATTCTAATCTCTCTGCTGGAGGACCTAGTAGAGAGAGAGAGAGAGAGCTGTTTTGCCGGTTGTTTTCATTTTAGTTTCGGGTTGGGGGGGGCACGTCCTGTCACTGTCGCACTGGAAAACTAGAAACTAGTTCGCCAAGTTGAGGAATCTGGGTGCATGAGCTGTTTGCCCGAATGATTGAAGTCGTTTTTCCTGCGTTCTGGCAGGTGAAGTTTGTCATGGAGTACGACGAGCGCAAGGAGTGGCGGGCAGATGCGAAAACTGCCAAGCAACGTGCGCAGCACACTGCGGTACTAGCTCACAACTATTGCACTTGAGCGTTGATTGTGCCTCTTCTTTTTGAAGACAGCACCCGCTTTGCTGTGCAACTTGGCTTTTTTCTGACTGCCACATGTTCCAACCTTGCAGTTTGCTCCATGATTTGGGAAGTCGCACTTGGACGGGCCATTCCCAAAACAGGTGACTTTTTTCTTCACGACCTTTGGGCAACTTCGAATATGAAGGCTATTCGCCTTAAGTGCGTCGTTCGTGGGGGCTCGTCAGCTTAGAACAAGCACTGCAGCGCAAGTTGTCTAAAGCGATCTGCCCTGAATATCCTGTGATGACATGTTTTGGGTGTAGAGTCCCATCTCTCCCTTTCGGCAAAGGCCTTCCTCGGCTGATGGGCTAATGCGAATCATGCATCCAGCAACGAGGTGCGTATCAATCTGAACCAATTCCTGTGGAGGAGTTTCAAAGAGCACACCTGGGGGTAAGAAGAGCTCACCCATGAACGTCCTTTGCTGGGATTATAGCAACTTGCTCAGTTTCCTGAAAAGTTTGCAACCTTGTTTGTGGTTTTAAAGAGAATCCAACAGGAAAGCCACCATTTTGGGGGCTCCCCTGAAAAAAGACGCCAATATGTGGTGTCACTGAGAGTTTTGCCAATTTTCGCCTGTGCCAGGGCAAGGATCGCGCCATCGAGGCGTTTCGTCGTGAAACGAAACCAGGGTGACTCCTGTGGAGTATGCAGATTGACATAGCTCCAAAAAATGCCGTGTTTGAATGGTAGAAATTAGATTCCCTGGAAAAGAAAGGAAACAAGATAGGATTTTGTTGTTTTTTTCTTTTGGTTTGGTCATTTTGAGGCTCGGAGGCAACCCCTAGTGGTTGACCCGGCAACATGATGGAAGTCCCCTGTTGCCCTAAACTAGCAAGTTTATGTACATGTTCAGGGAAGATGAAGCACCTTCAACAAGATTCACCACAGCAGAGGGTTTGTCACTTGCCACGTACCCTCCAGGAAGGAAACAGGCAACATGCTGCGTTTGAAGCGCAACAATATATGTATATATACACATATAGACTAGCTCGGAAAACGATCTTCTGACGACCGCTACGCCAAGGGTTCTGACAAGCATGCATGATGTCACATCACTGACCACAGCATGATACCTGCATTGGTTTGTCCAACAAGGATGTCAGGAAGCTCAAACAGAGTGTCTCCTACCGCATGGAGTTTCTGCACTTCTGGGGGACCATAAAGCTGAGGACCTGGGGGAACCAAAGCTGACAGGACCAGGGGAACCGAAGCCAAGTGGGTAGCCACTGATCTCCGGTTCCCATGGGAAATGTCTAACGTGTTGAGTCCCAGCGAGTCGCACAAGTGATTCTGGGCTTGAAAATGTGAAGGTGCAAGTCAGAGGCTGACAGACAGCCAGGATAGAGACGACGACCGAGAGAGGTAGACCCAACAAGAACAGACATGGACGGATCTTTTCAGAGAGTGGTACAGCAACTTCGGGCTCACACGGATTTTGTTTTCAGACAG